GAGGGGAGGGTGGGGTGGGGCGAGGGGCGGGCACGGGAAATCGGGCTCTTCTAAAAAAAGTCAGGCTCATCTATACGTATGTGTGTCACGTCACGGGGAAATCAGGCGCTCGTCAAGTTTTGGACACGTGGAACTAAATTGGTATTGCCCTATAGATTATTCATTTGTCTTCGTTTTCATGAAAGAATCCCCGTGTCACTTGAATACAAGTCGAGATATTTGCGACTGAAAGAGGTGAGGGTCGCTTGGTGTCAGATTTGTTAAATTAACGTGAAAATGGCTGTTTAAGTTCTGCAACTTCCAATGTTCTTGGAAACTGGGAACTGAGATTGCTTTGTTTTGTGTGCCTTTGACTTTGATCAATAAAAATTCTCGCAGAAATGTATTTTAAAATGGACATTAAAGATGTTTAAAAAAAAAAAAAAGACACACAAAAAAGACCAACCTTTCCCTACTGGTGAAAATGCGTGAACTTGTTCGATCTGGTTCTGTTGACGAGCGCGTGCCTTAGCCCCGATGTTCTACATATTATATCTAACGACAGCGGAGAGTGCGCGCGAGCAAACAGGAGCGTGAGGCAGCCCACAAAAGCGGTGCGCTTGCACTCTCGCCTGCCACTGACTGCGGTATATTATACAGACACGCACACCGCTACTCCAGTCACGGGAGGGAGCGACCCCCTGCACTGCACTGCACTGTCCACCGCAACAACTACCACCAACACTAATAGCACCAACAATACCACCACCAACGACAACAACACCTTCACCTACACTGGCAGCAGCAGCAGCAGCAGCAGCAGCAACAACAGCTCCGTCGCCGCGTCGTTGGAAGTGAGGAGAGGTGGGGCACAGGGGAATTCTTCGTCTTCGTCTTTGGCCGGTGCCTCGTGACGCTCCCCCCGACACATGATTACAATACAAGGGACATACATACACGTGATTTTTTGTTTTCTGGCTTCTAGAAAAAGGCGCGGCTCAACGTGTCTCTCACTTTGTGCAGTTTTCGACAGAGATGCTCACATCAATCTGAAAACACTTGGAACACCTTGATTACTTTTCCAAACCTCGCACAAAAGCTTGGCAACATAATTTCTGTGCATTTAGAAACAGAAAGTCTCGACTACACCTGTTTGCAGTAAATAGGTGCGCGCAGAAACTTCATAATTCTGCAGACGTTTGATTTATATTACGGATTTCTGTCTGGAAATTCAAAATTCGTTTTCTTACTCTGTCCTGAACATCAGAACGTGTGATTCTGCGTGTATTCCATTCCTGGCTGCGAGAAAAGGTAATTTCTATCTCAATATTTCATTATTTAATTTGTCCAAGACGTTCTGTACAATTTATTTCCCTCGTCAGCTTCGCCAGCAGTGGCCTCACGTGATGTGTGTTGTGTGTGTGTGGAGTAGATTTACTTTGTGCAAAGTGATACTACAGCTCTGTTTCTGCTCTCGTTTTTGTTGACCTAAATGTTTTTGCTCTTTTTCTTGTTGTTGTTTTTTGTTGTTATCGTCCGATTGCTATTTTTTCTGTCTATTTGTTGCAGTCTTCTTCTCATTATTTAATTTATATTAATTTTTTAAAAATTCAATGTTAAATTTTTATTAAAAATTTTTTTTTTTTAATTATTACAAATTGTGCGGTCCACATCATCCGTACTGTCATCATTACGTTTCCTGGTGACGCAATTATTTTTTGTTGCTGTTGGTGTCGTTTTCGATGGAGGAAGAGAAAAGAAAAACAAGAGGTGGGTCGTGATTGGAGAGAAAACGGCAGCAACAATTACGGTACCAGTTACTTTTGTCTGTTAACCTGAGACTTTTCTGTTCATTTTCTTTCTGTCTTTTCCAGCTTCTTTTTTCTTTTCTTACTTTTTTTTAGCGCAGGAGTTGAAGTAAGCGCGTCATTTGTACAATATTCTCATGTTGGACTATAGAGGGAATGGTCTAGGTTTAAATCCATAACGCGGATTTCAAATTTAAAAAAATATTTTTTTTA